TCACATATTGTCAGAGGCAAAAGATGAGTCCATTGGCATGGAAGCACTGAATCAACAGTCTCTTATATGGTTCTTCTTCTACAGCTGCTCTGTAGTTTATATGGGAGCTGTCCTGGTGCTGAAATACTGTTGTGAATTGGACCCAGAGTCTGGAGCAGCTATAGAAGAGGCAGATGTAAAACAGAGTGGGTTCTCCATTCCCATAGAAATAGATTTCACAGCTGCCCCTGCATAGTGATTTTCTTGTATAAATGTTTTCTGGAATGACCTTTCCATTTTCCCTGGACATTTTAATCTTAAGACCTTTCACTGCTTCCAGCTCTGCTATATTAATATTTTTGCTTTAAGGTAAATAAAAATACTGTCAATATTTTATCTAGTTGCATTATTTATTTACCTTTTTTACACTGTGATTTTTATTCTAGTTTGGCTTTTTACTTTTTTAAAAAATATATGGTTTAAAAGAGTTGCTTCAGGATCTTTTATTGGGCAACCACTTTTAATACATACCTGCTGGAAACTTAAGGATCTGAACTTAGGTCTCTCCCCAAGCCTTTCTCCTCAGTTACTCAAGCAGTAGAGAATCTGTGGCTCCCCAGATGTTGGTGAACAGCAATTGCCCTCATCTTGTGCCATTTGCTAGGCAAGGGCTGATGGAAGTTGCCATCTAGCAACATCTGGAGTGCTGCACCTTCCCTACTCCTGACCTCCAACCTGATACTTTTTATTAATCTGGATGTGCCAGTGGTCCACCAAGAACTTTCACTTATTATTATTATTGTTGTTGTTGTTAGATGTTTTAATGCAATTATTGTTTGTACTTTAACTTTCTATCATTAAGTTTTAGCTTATCTTGTTTTTTGCTTTTGTGAGCTTTTATCTTGAAGTGATAAAGCAGGGGTAGGCAACCTTTCCCCTTTAAGGGCCGAGGAACTTCAGCTCCCAGAAGCCTCAGCCATGTTGGCCAATAGCTCCTGGGTTTCTGGGAGCTGAAGTCCCTCGGCCCTTAAAGGGGAAAGGTTGCCTACCCCTGTGATAAAGGCTCATGCTGGAGAATTTTTTCTTCTGTGCAACTGTTAATGGTATAGGAATCTTCTCAGCCACTGCACCTCCTAATAGAGGACCAATGGCCATAGTCCCATCAACAGAGCTTGAAAAAGTTACTTTTTAGATACAGCTTCTAGATTTCACAGGCAGCATGACCATTGGCCCTGTGCTCTTAACACTAATCAAAGGCAGAATTTCCCAAAAAGGTTGCTTCCAATATTATCAGGGTAGGTGCTTCTGTCATGAGATATGTGCATAACCATGTTGGCCATACTGACTGGGAGATTGTAGGATTATAGTCTCAAAAGGTAATTTTTCCAGGCTTTCTGTCCATTAGCACAAGAATGATCACAATGCTACAGAGTACTTTATATTTTGCTGTTGAGCCTTCCATGTTGATCACAGTCACAAAATGATTCTCTCCTACATTTCTGTGTAGATATTTATCTTTGAGAACAACATCTACTACTGTGCCCATGTGGGGAAGCAAGCCATCCGTGTGGTCTCCACTGGAAAAGACAAAGTTATTTTCAATGGACTCAGCGACTGGCTGTATGAAGGTAGGATGGAGAATTTAAAATCACTGCCAGATCCGGAATAATTCTGAGCAGCTTGCCCTGTTGTCAGTTCACATACACACATGCATACATATGCATAGAGGATATTTAACAAGATACAGTTGGCCCTCCATATCCACAGATTCTTTATCCATGGATTCAAACATTGAAATATATATATATATATATATATATATATATATATTCCCCAAAACAAACCTTGATTTTGCAATTTTATATACGGATCACCATTTGTCAGAGAAACACTTTTGTACCTACAGAGGACAAGAATGGGTGGGGAAGAAAATCCCAATTCGACTGGTGCTGGTTGCTGTTGGATCTCTACCCTTCATTCCCCTCATCTCCATGCCCACAAGTTTTGCATTTTTATGGCCATTCATACAGTCTGATTATAAAGGTTCTTCCTGGGCACTGGTTCACTCCATGCATCTGAGGAAGTAGACCAAGTCTACAAAAGCTTATGCTACAACATTTTTTGCTCAGTTAGTCTCAAAGTTGCTACAGTATCCCATTGCATACTAATTTCCATCTACCATAGTTTCCTGTTATAGAGGTGACCATTCTTGAAAGAAAAAAAAGAACCATCCCATAGCTTGACTTTGTGGAAATATTGTTAATAAATCTTCCAAATGTGTTTTTGAAGGCCAATGTGATAAATCATATATATTTTTCTTTCTTTTGTGAGGTTCCAAGTGTTAAAATATTAGCAGCCATGTTTTTCAAATAATATATTAGAATTGAAAAGTCATTCTAAAAAAGTCTTGCTGTTTCCACAAAATCTCCAGCAGTGAAGGCTGCAGTTGCTGACTAAAATTATTTTCCTATCAAAAAGATTTTGACATATGTGGGAAAATGTATGAAAAATTCATAATGATATGACCTTTCTCAGTAAGCTTCCACGTATTGTAATTGGACAGCATGACTGATGAGGTACTACAGGATGCCAGAGCTGAATGCTAATTTTTAGCAATCACTATTTAATAACTAATTCATTTTCATTTAGCTCCACAGTGACCAACCTCTCCCTCAAATATGCACACATACTCATGGGCTCAGGGACTGGTAACACAAAAATGTCTAATATCAAATGATGACACCAAAGCCTGCAATCATTGGGAGTAATGGATGAAAAGAGAAGACGATGAAAGGAGGGTGAACTATTATCAATTTTGGCAGATTTAGATCATGCTCTTTCTCCCAGAGAGTTTAGGCAAGCATGCATAGGATTAGGTTGTTTTATCTAACTTGGGTTAGTTTGAAATATGGTGACTAGCTCAGGGTTCTGCTGAGAGGCTTAAGCCATGCTTCTGCCCATTACATCACACTTGCTCTACCAATCTGCCCTTTCCTGTTCACATAATAATCAAACATTAGAATTACAG